GTCTTGGATATTTGACAAGACGAACCGAATTGAGTGACTTTACATTCTTTTGCGGATACCGGCTGGCCGTTCGCATCAAGAGATTGTGAGGTTGTTGTATAATGGGGAATCTGTTCGAGGATTGGTCAATCATCTTGTCAGGCAGGTATGAAGTATGATCAATGCACTTACTTTAGTGTCCCATAACATCTCATATAGACCATTGCAACGACTCAATGCGATCTTGATACCAAAGTCTTTGACTACAAAGTACAAACCGTCTACCGAACCTAGTAACTCTGCCTCCTCCTTGCTGCAAGGTAGGCCTGTCTCCCGATTAATAAGGCCAAATAGTCCAAAGGCATATCGTGTATGATCCTTATCAACATGCACCCGATTTGCAAACCCATCACAAGAGACTGCAATGTTAGAAGCAAAAACCAATCCATTAGGCGTATCCTGCCACTCAACGTCAGCAAAACCTGGGACGTTTGTAGATAGTCCAAGGGCCAGGTTTGTTTTAAATGTGTAAAGTGATAGGCTGGCAAATCGGCCTGCTAGGAAATCACGGATGATATGAAAACGTTCCATTCGTTCCTTATCCGTCAACATACGGTCTTCGGACGTGGCGGTAAAAGCGCTCATTGCATAGGCACCTATGCACGTGAGGATAATGCAATCATGGTCAGTTGAGTCTTATTGTAATTTATAACAAGTTGATGAACAAACAAATTTCTCATAAAAGATACACTAACCAAGGGATTTGCCTTCATCTGTCCCACCTCGCCATCCACAATGGCCCATCCACCCACATACATGTTCTTCATCTTCTTGCGCATTAGAATCTTTGACTTTTCTCTTGTCTTTGTGAGCCCCGTTTATTTTACACTCATTACGAGCTCGTGCATGCTTGTATATGGTAGAAACAGAATGATTGAATTGCTTTCTCAGGTCAGCATCCATTGTTCTAAATCTTGAACATCGAACCGCAAGGACTAAAGACAGGTCTGCTTTGTTGATGACTGCCACAGTACCATGATAGATTTCAATATCTTTGAATTTGTCGGTATTCATTCGATCGTCAGGTCCAAATCGAAATATAAACTTTGTGTTAAGCGGTAGTCCGAGTTCGGTTGCCAATTGACACTTAAGGGTAGTACGCTTCCGGTGATAACGATAGAAAGCATGACCAATACCACCTTTCTTCTGATGATTTTGCTGATATTTGCGGTAACAAGGCGATGTTTTTGATTTATAGTTTGAGGGCTTTACTCCTGCAGCCCGTTGGGCGGCTCGATTTCGCTTGCGTCCCATGAGGTGATGCCTTTAAATTCGAAGGAGCTTTGGTTAGTGTTTGTCTTCAAAGGGTAATATATTTTCAAATATATTACCCTTTAGTTGAGAAATACTAATGTAACATACCAGTATCAATTGAGTGAAATCCAAGTTTTTAGCTACTAATCTATTTATTGAATACCCTGTGTCTGAAGAGTTTCATTAAATCATTGATCAATCCAAGAAATGAGATTTCATCAGTGAAAATACACAGCGTCCATTTTACTATGGCACGTCGAAGTGCACACACGGAGAGGTTTGGAAAAAAAATGAAAAAAGTTTCATGTAGTTTCTTTATCAGACTTCGGTGAAATTCCAGCACCCCTCTAATCTCAAGAAAGGATATCAGACTTCCTATGTCTAACGGTCTCGCCACCTCAGGAACTCAAGAAGGGTTGTCTATGCATGGTGCTAAAGATCATTTGAAGCTCGTATCCACTCTATACGAGATATCTTTTGTGTGAGCACGTCGACTTGACACTTGAGTTTTTACACTGTGATAAAGAAAATGGAGAGGAACCCATTACAAATATGAACCGACATGTATCGATCAAGATGAATCGGCCTTGAGACTAATTGGTGAATGCGAAATGAATCGTAAGTTGATATATATCAGCAGAGTGGTAGATACAAAATAGGTACTTACATGCGTCAATCAAGGAGTGGGACCAAAGTGTGATTCAAAATGTGATTCACAAGTGACACAGTTGACGCGATTCGTATTGGCGATTCGATTATCGCTGATACATTTGTCAAACGCAAAATGAGATCAAATTGGTCAGTATAGATGTTGACCATGGAAATTGTAGAGTAAAACTAACATGAGTAATAAGAACTTACAAGGTGTAGAAGAAGGATTGACAGTCCTTGGTCTAAATGAGGTTACGATCGTCGACTGAAACACCAAAAGCACTCGACAATCACGCTCACCAAATGCCGTATCACCTGCCTATTTGTAGCTCAGAGGCCCACAATAGACAGGCGAATCGGCGACTTTGGGATTGTAGTTGACACTGGCAATGGAGTAGACAGTCGCTCGTAATCCTAGGTACATGACAAAAGACTTTGGGTTAATTTTTTTAAGAATAAAGGAAATACATGCTGGTCTTCACTGACCTCTCGGTCGAAAATTGTGGCAAATTGTCCGTGTTCGGTCCTGGGACAGCCAATAGTGGACCAACTGGCGATTCGAGTTATTGGCAAATTGGAGATACAGAGAGCCTATCGTATACAAAGCGCGATTAAATGCAGGATTCAAGATGTTAGTGAGCATGGGTCTCAAAGATCTCGTGTGGATCAACAAAATGATCACTTACAACTCGGTAGCCAAGTAGTAATAGACAGGGAAAGCGGAGTTCTCGGGGATGTAATTGACCAATTAGACAATTGGGGTATTGATCAAGTGCGAGGTGGAATTGTGGGGCGGTTGAAGAAGTCAAAAAGACTTGATGCGACGCGAAGCTGATGTATTGGAGAGAGATAAATTGAACACGACACGCGGTGCTGATCTTGGTGTGATAAATTGAAAAACCTAACTGACCTGAGATAAGTGTCAGTTAGGTCACATAGGCGGGGATGCTGGGCGCAGATCACGTGATCTGGGCTGGCATAGGTAACCGTATTGACATAGTGACCTCCATTGTTGACAAATTGAAAAACCTAACTGACCTGAGATAAGTGTCAGTTAGGTCACATAGGCGGGGATGCTCTGCGCGCAGATCACGTGATCTGATCACGTGATCTGGGCTGGCATAGGTAACCGTATTGACATAGTGACCTCCATTGTGAGCCTTCACCATGGAGGTCACCAAAGGCTCACAATGGAGGTCACCATGTGTTATCCGTTATGTAGAAATACAATGAGAAGAATGGTTCCTCTCCCTGATAAATCAATTATGTAACATAGGAGTTTCATCACAAGAGGTTTTGCGTGCAACACTCCATGAATTGGTCTTCTGCACATTAGGTGAGTCATTGAAAGTTGTGATGTTTATGAGATCATGTTTTATGCCTGGGTTATATGCCTGTTCTGATTGTTGCTGGACAATTGTCTATAATTTTTGGAGTTTAGATATCCCACCAAACATCTCATGAAGTCACATCACACCCCATGACATGGGTTAACACATGGCATATATAGCCAAACATGCCTGTAAACAAGGATGTTTCAGCCATAACTTTTTACGCCTTGGTGATATGGTGGATCTGAGTGTGGCAAATGAATCTGTGTGGTTTGTTTAGTGCTATACAAAACAGCAACCAAGTCATGAAGTGACACAACACTCCATGTCTTGGATGTTGTGTGTTTTTGCACATATAGCCAAACATGGCTGTAAACAAGGATGTTTCAGCCATAACTTTTTACGCTTTGGTGATATGGTGGATCTGAGTGTGGCAAATGAATCTGTGAGCATTGCTTAGTGTTATACAAACCAGCAACCAAGTCTTGAAGTGACACCACACTCCATGTCTTGGATGTTGCGTGTTTTTGCACATATAGCCAAACAGGCCCGTAAACAAGGATGTTTCAGCCATAACTTTTTACGCCTTGGTGATATGGTGGATCTGAGTGTGGCAAATGAATCTGTGTGGTTTTTTTAGTGGTATACAAAACAGCAACCAAGTCTTGAAGTGACACCACACTCCATGTCTTGGTTGTTGCGTGTTTCTGCACATATAGCCCAACATGCCCGTAAACAAGGATGTTACAGCCATAAATTTTTAAGCCTGGGAGATGTGTTGATTCTGAGTGTGGCAAATGGGTTTGGGAGCACTGTTTAGTGCTATATAAACCAGCAACCAAGTCATGGAGTGACACAACACTCCATGACTTGGTTGTGGTATGTTTTGGTACATAAATGTCAACATGGCCGTAAACAAGGATGTGTCTGCCCTAAACATTCACGCCTGGGAGATATGCTGCTTCTGGGTGTCGCAAAAGAATATGTGGGCATTGTAAACACTCCATGGCTTGGTGCATACATGTTTTTGCACATATATGTCAACATGCCCGTATTCAAGGATGTTTCTGCCGTAACAATTCGCAGCTGGGTGATATGGGCGTGTTGCAAAAGGTTTTAGGAGCAACTGCTAGTGTTATTGGCAGAAGTGAAAGAACACTTGCTTACCTCAGCTCACCCTCAACATTGCCGGTCACCATATTGTGACACCTAGTTTCAGAAACAGGGTCTGTTGATGTAAGAGGGATTCTTCACCCCAAAATCCCTATTGGGTTGACAGACAGGCCTGTATCAATCCCACGGGATGACTGAACCGGACTGAGTTTATTATTCCAAATCAATAACTCTGTTGATTCATAATACACATCAATAATAGGATGGGGATGACAGCACTGTATTTATCCCAGGGATGACAGAACTATCATTAATAGAAATTTATCACCCCAAAATGTCTATTGCGTTGACAGCACTGTATCTATCCCACAGGATGACTGAAGCGGACACAATCAATCATTCCAAATCAATAACTCTGTTGATTCAAAATACGCATCAATAATAGGCTGGGGATGACAGCACTGTATTTATCCCAGGGATGACAGAACCATCATTAGCGGCCAAAAGCCACTAAGTAAACATCACTGCTGAAAAGTTAACAAAAAGAAACTAGTATGTTTTTTCAAATCAATGACCATTGATTTCACCGGGTCATTTACAAAAAAGGCAACAATGGTAAGTGGCACTTTTCAGATTTGCAATCTTTCATTTACCCCTCTCGGCCTTTTCTATCTAGTGCTCCAGATAGAAATACATTCATCTTTGCTTCCTACCGTCTCCTATCTTATTCTAAACCGAATATGACAAACCAGAAAAAAATCAAACTGAGCAAGCCAGAAAAGCTCAAGCGCAAACCACAGAATGCACTTGATGCTCGGTGCCTCGCCATGAAACGACGGAGCCGTGTGCACGCTGAAAATACTGTAGGTCAAGCGGTTTCAAACGCTGCTGAAAGATACGACCGCATGGAGCATCCCATTCCAGGTGGATCAGGTGATCACATCATACCTTTATATGACCTCGCAGCTTTAGACGACAGTGATCGCGACGAGCAACCATACCCTCATGGCCCATTACACCCCACTCCTCCACCTCATGATGTCAATCTCACCGGCGAAGCGTTTGCTCTGGCTCTCAACGATGGGTTCTATGCGGGAAGGCGACAGCTAGAAGAAGAGCAGTGGCGTGCTCAATATCCAGCCATGTTCCCGGTTTTCATGGCCTGCCAGCAGAGGACCAATAACTGGTCCAAGGTTGACACTCGTTTCAAGGACTGGAAGGAACGGTGCAACTGTACAGGTACCCTTCGCACTTTTGATGTCCTTGATCTTACGTGTAAGTCCAGACAAGCAGAACTGTTTATTATGCAATTCCAACTCATGCTTTCCAAACCTAGTTCGTAAACAGATACAGTTGAAGATGTGTTCATGTTCACCTAATGATCAAGTACGACTGATCCAAGCTGGTTACATTGGTGGCACACCGGTCAGGCCGCAGGCAGTCATTACAATCCGTCTTCTGCGATTCTTCCACATAGTTTGGAAGTATTGTAGCCTGCGATTCCAGCCATTTTCCGAGGCTCTTAACGAATTCCTGGATGAAGGAAATCCTTTATTCTTGGCCAAAGGGGGGAACAATGTAAGTAAATATTTTGTGTCAGTTGGTTGCATTCTGATGTAGGGTTTTTTAGTGCCGTGAATGGCATTGCACACTCTCTTCAGCAATTGATGCATATCGGCAGATGATCGTCATGACGGAAGAAGCCGTCACCAAGAGCCTCAATCTTACGGTCCAGGATAAGCTAGCGGGGATATGTCCCCAGTGTTTTGGCCCTGGCGTGGGTCCGCTGCCGGCAGGTGAACCAGATCACATTGTATGTCTGGACGGTAACTTCCAGCACCGCAGGCATTTGGCGGCTAGTATCGAAAAAGGTGGCATCGTCACACCATCTCTGTTCCTTCCTCCGGAGGAGATGGAATCCCTACAGAAAAAGTTGTCGCAAGCCGGTCCTGCACCTCGACGTAATCAAGCGAATCAAGCTAAAGCCAAGGTGCCTTGGCATGAGGCCGAGGTAGTCAGTAATAGTTTCACTCTTTATAAAGCATTATAGTATATGTTCATTAAGGTATCTTTTTTCCAAAAGGATCCATGTGCTTCCAGGCATACAGCAGCCGATGATGTGCGAGGGAAGTCTCACTGGAAAGGTTGTGACGAAGCTGGGTTGATGGGCATGGGTTGTCGGCATGACCAATGTCTCCGATTCATTAGCATCATTCAAAGTGGTGAAATGTGAGTTAGCTTAATCTCAGATTCTGTGTATGTTTTCGTACTGACATTGTGGAAAATGAATCTCAGAAACATTTATCCACTTACACTATTAAACTGGCTCCTTAAAGCCACCGAGGCCAGAGAAGCCAGAGAAGGCGAACTACATAAAACACTTGGACTGCTATATGATATTGGCTGCACATTGCAAAAGAGTATAGTGAAAGTCAGTATGTCATATTCCTTACAGATATTGTACCCTTGATTTACTTCCTGGAACACCCTTTTCACCAGCATCATCACTTTCCAGAAGAACGGGCAAAAGATCGGCTAAAGTTTGGAACAAGTTTGTTCCACTCATATGTGCATGAGTGGGCATGTCAACTTGATTATAATCCACGGCTGAACGAGGGCTGGGGTCTCTCCGATGGCGAGGGAATGGAAAGAATTTGGTCAGATTTTGAACCTTTAGTCAGGCCTCTGCGTTACTCAACCAAACAGCATCGCCTGACAGCACTGAACTTTCGAGCCATGCACCGGAATGAACGAGGCAGATATAGATCAGGTACAGAATCCTTCAACTCTATCCAAATATCAACTGATAACCAAACTTTGTTTCCACCAATAGCTGCGCGCAGCCTGGAACATCTTAAAAAGACACAGAAAAAACTTTCGGAAGCCAGAGGGACATTGAGGCGGCTCAACCGCCAGCATGGTCATACTGAGGATTACTTCAAGAATCAATGGGAGCGCAAGAAGGCAATACAAAGCCAAACCATCAGCCAAAGCAGTGCTGATTACTTGGAACACGTAGCTGAACTTGTGGATTTGGAGGAGAAATTAGTGGCTGCTCAGTAAGTTCACATCCTCACTCAGACGCAGTGCAGTGCGAAATACTGAATAAGATTCCAATTTGTTATCAGGGATAAGCTGGAAAGCCTGGAGAGGAAGAAACGGTCAAGGCGCCGTCGTAGAAATAATAGACAAGCTAGTGGTGTTCCTAATACGTTGGTTTTGCTGGAGAAAGCCATTGACCGCGTTACGGAGAAGCTTGGAGATGCAGAGTTATGTGAACTGACTGGTGGTACATCAGGTACACTATGAAGCTTCATGGTATCTATGACCAAGCTGGCTGTACTTACTTAATTATTCCAACCTCAGATGAACGAGCAAAACCTCTTGTCAAAATCCGCGTGGCCAAAGGCAAGCTACTTGGTGCGAAGGTCGGCGTTATTGAGCATAAAAGACGAGCT